ATTGTAAATGTCTTCTGTCGAATGTGCCATGAAGGATTCCTCTGTATGTTTCTTTAATTACTTGTGCTGATTCTTTAAGTTGGAAATTGTCTGTAGTTATTAAACGGTTGTAACGTTTAATTAATTAATTGTGTTTTTATGAATGGTTCGATTGGAAATCTACCCAATTTTCTGTAAATACCCATTATTGTTTATTGGCAGACGGTGCTACCGTGAGCTTGAATTCGCCGGGTTAATTTATCAAACAGAATAAGTAATGTAGACATTTTAATAATTTGTATATATCCTATTTGTTATAGTAAAAACAAGGCATTTTGTCTTTTCTTCTTAGATTTGCTAGTGGTTTCTTATTTTTTCCCACTATAACTAGAAGTAACTCCAAGATAGTACAATTTTTTTGTTAATTTTATTTTCATTATTTACTGTAGGTTTTCTGTAAATAAGTACAGCATTCATGTTTGTGAAAACTGACAACAGTATAAACAACAGTAACCCTGGTAAATTATGATCTATCTCTATTTGTAAAGTATAACATTTCTCAATTTCCTATTTTGCTACGCACACTCAGGCCTCACCATCAAAATTCCGAAATGAACAACTTGAACGTTCTATTGAAAACTGATATTTGAGTCTAGTCGCCATATTTAATTGCTTTTATCTCCACTACCTTAGTGTAACAAGGGTTACGAGCAAAAATGCGATTGTGTTTAGATAATGCGTAATGTTTTATCTGAATATATGTTGTCCATTATCAGGAACAAGTGTTGTCGATGCACCAACAAACACCAATGTAAGTGTTGTCGTGCAACAACTGGAACGATCAAAGTTATGTCCACACTGTAAACACGCCATCGTTCCCATTAAATCTATTAACGGAATGAATGTTTTCACCCCGTGATGTAGAATGGTTCATCCCTCATAAATTAATCATTTACGTCCGATGACCTGCGAAAGCTACACCTGTGCCAGTTGAAATAATGAAATAGCAATAGATGAGATTCGTTGTTTTCGCGACGTAATGCCAAGTCTCGAAGGAATGCAAGGAAATACATCAAACATGTACTATTGCGAACACGTGCTGTCGATTTGTGCAAGCGTCCAAAGACGGTCGTTGTTGGTCGTGAAATCATTACTGTTGATACAATATCACTCATAAACAGTTGCGTCACTGAAGAGCGATGTCCTTTTCTCATTCTGAAAGATAAGCGAGATTTCTAAAATTTACTTAGTTAACATCACGGCTCTGCAGCTTCCATACATGGTCGACATCTGTTTCTACTTTTAGGAACCCGTGGGATATATATTATATATAAACAAACAAAAAGTCCGAATTTTGAGAGCTGTCGCAAAATTTTGATTTCTTTCCACAAGGAAGCCTTGCGAGGCTCTGTGACTTTAGTGTCTATTGATTCTGTTCTAAATCGGATACGTAAAAGCGATCCGACTATGAACGTTCGCCAATGGACGCTCCATCATAACACTGTTCACTCACCACCGTTTGCGTATCATAAATTTAACAGTTTGCCAGCGTACTTGTTGAAGGTTTTAACTACTGCTAGCAGCCGCCGAGACTAAATGAAATATACAGCATTAAATGATAAGTTAATTACCTCCACGTTCACCCCATCTCTCTGTCCATGCTGCCCACATACTTCACCGCTATCGTGCCACATAATTCAAACTTCGCCGTCACAAGTGAACATTCATAACTACGGGACCCCAATATTCTATAACCTCTGCGTATCAAAACAACCGCTCAGACATCCGAAACTTTGACCCCGAAGAGATTAAATCGGACACACGTATGCCGAGTGTATGTGGAGGTATGTTGGAGGGTCGCTCACTTGATCGACAATTCGATCAATTGACAGGTACTTATTCATGAAAAATAAAAAATCATTATAATGTTATGTGTTCGAGTATATATAAGTTCGTCCTTGATATCGCAGGCATCTTGAAATGTCACCGTAAAATGTTCCAGCCAGATGGACAATTGGATGTTTCGATAAGATTCTACGAGCCCGATAAGTGGTTATCGCCATGTTATGCACAAAGGCACAAGAAGACTAAACAGAGTGATTATTATACAAAACGAATTGGCAATATTATTTCTGTTATTTCCCTAAACTTAACATATGTTTATGATACACGGACAAGCACATTTATTGATTTAAGTGTAACCAAACGACCCTTGTGTGGATTGGACACGTTGCCACACGCCTCACTCATAAAAGTACGCTGCCGTTCAAAACGTGATATAATTTATTCTGATATGATAGGACATTCCATTTGGAGCGCACAGCATCATGTAAACTAATAAAAATTACATAATATTAATAATATTTATTGATATAGTACATCAGTAAGATATCAAAAGATACAAATTAATTGCTTTTTATGCAAAATACACATAATGTAAAGTGTAGCCGCTGTAACACAGATAGACGAAAAACGACAACGGAGTAGGATGCGTTCTTTAGACTGTCAACCTTGGGGATTTCCGTGCAGCTTATTGGCGAGAAATCGGAGAAAGGTACACGAAATACCAAATACCAGTGTTCCTATCATTATCAAGACGAAAGAAGGCTACACCATATTCAAGGTAACATATTGTTCAATCACGTATGGTATTTGCCCCTGACTCCCTGACCCTCTGAGTCCAGATTGTAAATTAAATCAATATTGTTAGAATGTTAAAGAGTATGCATTGCGACGTGTACGCCATGCCCGCGGTATTTGAAACATTGAGGACTGGTGTTCGTGACTTGAACTTCAAGGTGGTCGGCACTTCTACCTCGCTCCGTGCATGATTGGTAGAAAGTTTCGCATGCAAGTTTCTGGCCATGCGCAGTAGGCTCTTTTTTCTCGCAACGTTGCTACTCCACTCTCGTCAATCTATTACACAACATACCCCATTTTCTTAGTACAAAAATCGACTTGCCGTGCTGTTTCAATTGTAACCACAGTAATCCCCATAGCTTCGCCAAATTGCCTAAGACCTGTCCGCCTACACAAACGATCTTCAATAAAACAAACCGACGGTTTTCGTATAGATGTGAATAGAAATTAACATATTTAATTATCCGGAAATAGGAAATTTGAAGAAGCTGTGGAAAAAAAGTGAGATGGGAATTGTCAACTAAAAACCTGAACACTAAACAATTACCTCCTTGTATCAGAAACTCAAAAGCTGAAATTATCCAGTGAGTTAGAAAAAGATGCGACATTGACATATAAACAACTAAACAGTAAATGTGACAATAATGTATTTAGACGATAAAACACAAATAACAAATTAATACAAACAAAATATACAATTGTTATAACAATATAATGACAAGTATATCAAATAAAAAGAACATTTTATCCTCCAAATGAACTAAAAACTTAATTCAAATATACAAAACGCCAAATAATTTTGTGATCTCATGGTCCCATATGTCACGGTTATAAAGTATAATCAAATAAATTGAATTACTGAATTACCATGACAACACTTATATTTATGTTTTGTGTTAATAATTTCTTTCAGTGAGCTTGTGTTTGTTTTGTTGTGATAACATGTATGAACTTCCCGTTTAAGCAAAGAAAAAACAAACAGATTAACATAGTTCCCTTAGTGGAATATTTGTTCAATTTATTGGAGATAAGCATTCATGTTTGTCCTTCATTGGATGTATCAAAGAATACGTATTTATATTTATTCTATATTGAATTTATTGAAGATTGGTATTTATTCTTGTTCCGTATTAGAATTATTTAAGATAACTCTTTATGTGGGGAGCTGCAAGGGGGAGAGCCGGTAACAGGTTACATGGAATAAAAAATGCAGTTTACGTTAATTTTACAGGAAATTCTATTACAATAAAAAAATGTTTTTTAGACTTTACAGATAATTTAAAGCAAATTCCTGATTACATTTTACATTTTCATAAATATATATTTTTAATATATTATTTGTGAATCAAAATTGGAAATTGCTTACGAATTCTGACATTTAAATGTTGAAAATGTTTTATACGCTTACAAAAAATAAGATCTTTGTACAAATTATGGACGAATAAAATAACTGATTACATTTTACACTTTGTGTATGTCTACGAATTTACGTTTTTTATTTATTTAAATCACATTATTACAAAAATAAAAACAATTGATTACAGCTTACGAAAATATCCCTTGCCGACCCTTTTTATTTATTTATTTATTTATTTATTTATTTATTTATTTATTTATTTATTTATTTATTTATTTATTTATTTATTTATTTATTTATTTATTAATATTTGTCTTTGGCTTATATTGGATTTATTAATGATAAGTATTTGTGGTTGTTATCGGAAGTTAAGTTGTTATGTTTGCCCTCTACAGGTTTATGTTTTTATTGTGTTGTGTTGTATTGTATTGTACAAGTACACGTACAAAACTAGTTTTAAAAGACGAAACAGGGGGCGACCTCCTAACGCTCAGTGGAATAGAACTCTATAGATTGGACCCGGTGTAACTATTTAAATTTTCTATCACATTTTTATGGAATTCGTGTTACGTAATCACAAAATGACGGTTTTTATCATAGGCAACGAATAATAACGGGTTTTAACTGTAAATAAACGCGCTAAATGTTTGAACTTATAAATAAATAAATCAACTTTATTTTGGATATAACAATATATTATTTATGCGACTTAAATAAAAAAGGTCGGTGTTTATGGTGACCAAATGAGAGAGTAATTTCCTGTTCGAGTCGTGATTTGCCGAGTGACTATTTACTATTATGTTACTACAATGGTGTACTAATACTGCATAAGGAATACACTGATGATACGCGGAACAGCGTTTAGTACTGAGTTTTAAAGTTCTGTTGTTCACATTAATTTAATTTAGCGGATTTTACTTATCTGCGAAAATAGCGAAATTAAAAAAAACAGTGAATAGTTAATACATTTACAGTACGCTGGTAAAGGTCATGGGGCTTTCCCGTGACGCACTTCCGGAAACTCCAGCCATGTTGTCGCGACCACGTTGTGTTCTCTGACGGTTTGGCGAAATGTCTGTTTACCATGATGAGATAGAAATAGAAGACATGGAATATGACGAAGAAGAGGAAATATATTACTACCCATGTCCTTGTGGTGACAGATTTGAAATAACGAAGGTCAGTGACGTATAAACGTGTCAGTCCAAAGAAGCACCAATAATGTTGAGTCGGCTCGACGTTCTCTCACGTGGAGTCGCTTGTTTTCCAGTGAGCAATTGCAACAGGCGTTTAGGGTTGGGTTGGGTTGGGTTGGGTTGGATTGGGTTATCCATGGGTTATATAACCCCAGTATACTATGGAAAAATATAATAATAAAAATTATAACAAAATAATAATATTTTTTACCATTACCCTAACCACCCAACCTAACTATAAGCTGTCGCAGAAAGTGTCTGCAAATAAACGGATGGAGATATAGAACTTGACTTACAAATAACAAGACGCAGGTCACAGTCACTGTATCCTACATTTGGTTGCTAGGAGTGTAGAACCGGTACCACTACTATTTTTTTTAATATTCAGCTTATAGTATTTTGTGGGTATTTTTTTTCTACTTTATAATTTTCTGTTACTAATTCCATTTAGTCTGCTATTGGTTGTTCTTAGCTATTGTAATTTGATGAATTTTTATTCGTAATTTTCTTTTGTGACCTTTAACCTCCTCCAATAGGGTATTATGAGTTAATAAAAAAAAATATTTTTAGACACTATCCCAATCTTTCCAGACAGCCAAAAAATATATACTCATGTTGCAATTTTTTGTAAAAAAATGTCTACAGTAATGTTCCTGTCTGCTTTATACCCTTGAATTGTAAAAAAAGGGGTTTCAGACATTCAGGATGTCACTGACCTTTATCTGGCAGCTCATCTTAGAAGCCATGGTAACAAATTTAATGTTCAAATAGCATTCTAAATATTTGATAATCATAATTTTTAAAGACAAATATGCGTACATCACAATCCCTCTATAGTACAGTCTGAACCGAATTTCTTTCAGACAGTGCCTGTCATCTATAAATAACGATTCACACCTTTTAGACAATATAGTCTTGCATGTCATTAATACCACTCAGAGAATGCAACTGCACACAAACAGTCATTGAAGGAGATCTTTTGTGACCGATTTTTTAAATTAGAAAAATTGTAATTGAACTTGATCTTACCATATTGCTTATCTTGGGTTATTATTGTTTGTGTCAGGTTTTATTATTGTTTATGTCGGGTTATTATTGTTTATGTCAGGTTATTATAGTTTTTATCAGGTTATTATTGTTTTTTATCAGGTTATTATTGTTTATGCTAGGTTATTATTGTTTAGGTTAGGTTATTATTGTTTTTATCAGGTTATTGTTTTTATCAGGTTATTGTTTTATCAGGTTATTATTGTTTATGCTAGGTTATTGTTTTTATCAGGTTATGACTGTTTTTATCAGGTTATTATTGTTTATGCTAGGTTATTATTGTTTATGTTAGGTTATTATTGTTTTTATCAGGTTATTATTGTTTTTATCAGGTTATTATTGTTTTTTATCAGGTTATTATTGTTTATGCTAGGTTATTATTGTTTATGCTAGATTATTATTGTTTATGCTAGGTTATTGTTTTTATCAGGTTATTATTGTTTTTATCAGGTTATTATTGTTTTTATCAGGTTATTATTGTTTATGCTAGGTTATTGTTTTTATCAGGTTATGATTGTTTTTATCAGGTTATTATTGTTTTTATCTGGTTATTATTGTTTATGCTGGATTGTTATTGTTTATGCTAGGTTATTACTGTTTATGTTAGGTTATTATTGTTTGTTAGGTTTTATTGCAAATGATAGATTATTATTGTTTATGCTAGGTTATTATTGTTTATACTAGGTTAGTATTGTTTATGTTAGGTTATTATTGTTTGTTAGGTTTTATTGCTTATGTAAGATTATTATTATTTATGCTAGATTATTATTGTTTATACTAGGTTATTATTGTTTATACTAGGTTTCATTGTTTATATTAGATTTTATTGCTTATGTCAGGTAATTATTGTTTATGCTAGGTTATTACTCAGGCTATTATTGTTTATACTAGGTTATTATTGTTTATACTAGGTTTCATTGTTTATATTAGATTTTATTGCTTATGTCAGGTAATTATTGTTTATGCTAGGTTATTACTCAGGCTATTATTGTTCATACTAGGTTTCATTGTTTATATTAGGTTTTATTGCTTATGTCAGGTAATTATTGTTTATGCTAGGTTATTATTGCTTATCTCAGACCTTTTATGTTTTACAGGAAGATTTACAGAATGGTGAGGATGTAGCAACTTGTCCGAGTTGTTCACTCATTATCAAAGTTATTTATGATATTGTGAGTACCAGCCATATTAAATATATATATCTTTAAAGTATTTATTATCATAATTTATTGCTTATATCATACTTCTATGAGATACAGCCCACTAAATATTATAGATATCCGACCTGCAATAACAAATTGGATCAGTACCTGCAATGTTTGATATACACTGATAGTCACCAAAGTGTTTTGTTTGTTACAGTCAAGTATATGGACTTGATCGTTTCTAATTTAGTGCACTGGATTCGTTCCTTTAATGTTACAGTTGCCGGATTCTTGTTATATGTGTAAAAGGTTGCTGATAGGATTACTTCCTTAGTTGAGGTTCATGTGTTAACTTGATGTACGATAAACTCCCAGCATGCATTGGGGTAAACATCCGGTTGACCTTTCATGTAGTGAACTGCACATGTGCAGTACTTTGAGTCACATGCTCCGTGTGTTTTTCTGGAGCTGTGCAGTCTGTATTTCTGTGAACAGGATTCTAATAAAGATGAAGCGTATTTTTGCCAAAAGTCACGTGACTAATGGCGGCAATTCGAGCCAAGATGCATCCGGAATAACCATTGGAAATGAGTCGGCTTTCATAACACAGAGATTTAATACTGATACTAGACGAATGGTTCGTCCACCTCAACGTTATGGAAATGCTAATGCTCCTAAAGGTACGAATCCCTTGGACAAATTTGGTAGACGTACAAAATGTGTGATATGCCAGTCAGTTTTTCACTGGGCCAAGGACTGTCAACATAGATCCGATCCATCTGTTGTAAATATGTCATCACATGATTCTGAGCCCGAAGTATGTAATTTGACATTATTAACCAAAGAAGAGAAATCCATTAATGAAATTTTCATGACTGAATATTTCGGATGTGCAGCAAGTTTACAAACTAAATAGTAGTATAGCAAAAGGTTTAGAACATAAATTCACAGTGACAAATATCTGACAAGATCAAAATCACAGAATTTAGTAAATGTCCAAAATCCCCTCTTGAAGTACCTTCCATAACACCAGCGGAGAAGCACCTCTCTTAGTGAGGCAGTCTGCAAGTCGATTTTTACTTTCAGACCATATAAACTCTTTAACCTGATTGCTTTCAATCAGTTCCCTTATACCACTAACCTCTATACGTAGTCGTTTTTCACTGACTAGTTTAGTGGATTTAACAGCTTCATACAAAGACTTACAATCAGTTACACAAACAAGTGGCAACTTGGTATATCTACTATCACTACCTGTCAGTTCCAAATACAAAGTTGAAATGAACATTGCAGAATCGATGCCATCGGTCATGGCAAGTGTTTCCCCAGCTAAAGTGCTACGCACTACCCGGCGAATCTTCTTTGAATTCCAACAAATTGGTGAGAATTTTCCAGTTTCCCCCATGAGAAAAATCAAATATCCTCCTTGACTACCGCCATCAGGGGAAG